ATTGCCCAACCCCTGGTAACCACACCAGACAGGCTGGCACTTCCCTGATCTCACAGGATGTCTGTGAGCCTGGGTGGAAGGTTACTCCCAATCCTGGGCTCAGGGAGACCTGAGGGCCCTGCAGCTGCTCCCAGCTGTCTGGCTGAACAATGCAGATTCTGTCAGATCTCCGGCTGAGCCTTCTTGTACGGGGTATTGGAGTTGTGGTATTAACTGGAGGAATCTCAGCTGCTTCCTGCTTCTGGGGTCCCAGCAGATTCCTCAGCAAAGATAATCAGTCCAGCTCTGTATCTAACTGCGACCCCCAGAAGTTGGGGGAGCGGTTTCAGTGTCATCTCAAGGCAAGGTATCGAACTTCCTAGGCTAGAAGGGACCCCATGGATCAAGGGTGCCTGGGTTCCTGCTTGCAGGCACAGAGGCAGGAGCATGGCTCGCTTTTCATAAATCTTGGGGGATTTTGTGGCCTCCTAGGTCACCTCTTTCAGTATTTTGTGATTCTAACAGGACCTCCGGACAGCTGTCTCCCTCCTTGCACGAACTACTTGTACCGCTTGCCCTGGTTTGCCCTCTCCACTGCAGCAGGACAGACACTGCGGCCTGCCCCTGCCATTCCCAAGACGGCAGATGCTGTTACCCACCCAGCTTCCAGAGCTATTCCGGTGCTTCTCTGGGTGTCAGATCTCTGCTGCAAGACTTACCTTGTCCCCCAAACTGCTGAGAGACTCCAAGAGACTCTAGCTAGTTTCATTCTGTTTTCTTTCCAACTCCCCAAATGCTAAGTGCTTACTTGGCCATTTTTGCCAGAGTACCTTCCTTTGCAGGTACTTTCTCTCAGTTTTGTTTTCAGACTCATGTCAGTGTCTCTCCTGCTTATCCTATAAACCAGGAGCACCCTTAGGGGACAGACCAGGTCTCCTCCCTCCCTTCTGAACTGGTGTTGGTGCTCACATTTCTGATTATGTACTATCAGGAAGTCCCACCTGAGAGCTATTCCTATGATTATTGTCTGAGCCCATTTCCTGTTTGGTTGGGGCCCGGAAATGTGATAAGGATTTGGCCAGCTGACAATGGACTGGCTGGTCCCCAAGGCCAATTTAGGGAGATGAAGGGGAAAATGACTCTTCATAAAGTGGCTCAGAATGCCACAGACTGGAAACAATGGGCCTGGCAGCACCGGACCCCAACCCTCTTCCTTACACCAAGCTTCCTGGCTTGCCAAGACTGCCGTGTACCTCAAAAAAAGAAAAACCAACTAGCTCTCTCTAAAATATCTGACCCTGGTGAATTGGAATAATTTCTGATGGAAAGCAGTCTTGTCCAGAAAGCCTCTTACCCACCCTGCTTAGGAATGTGGTTGCTGCAGATATTAAAACAGACCTGCAGGCGTCTGCGAGGACTGGGGAGCTTGTGCCAGAAATGACCTCAGCCTGCACAGCAAGGCTTTTACCTATGAAAAGCTGCTGCTCTGAGCAGATCACAACAGCACCCTTCCTCCTCCAAACCCTTCCCCTTCTGGGCACCCCTAGTCTAATGCCTGAGCCCTAACTTCCCACCCAAGGCTGGTACCAAAAGCCGGGAGCGCAGTGCCATCAGAACTGCTAGAGACGATGTGTGCTCCTTTTGTCCAGGAAGTGGCTCGGAGTGGCTTTGGTGGAAACATGGGCCTCGTGGCTAGCAGCCCCACTTTTCTCTCCTTTCTTCCTGAATCCCCCCTCCACATTGCACACCCCACACAGCTGACGGGGATCCTGTTCAGGTTGAGAGGTATCAGACTTCATTCGTCCTGCAAGAGACGCCCTCTCAGGGGAGGCCTGGACTTGGGGCAGAAACCGGAGACAGAATCCTCTTGGTTGGTGAAGGCTCCTCACTGAGTAGCTGAAGTTCCCAGCAGGGCCTTGGGGTTGGTCCCGCCTAACCCAGCCCCTGTTGCTGAAGCTGAACATGTCCAAGATGAAGCAGAAACTTTTATTAATTATCAGATGTCCCTCTTCTACTGAGAAGCTCAGAGACCAGGAGAATCCAACTACAACTATTCCTGCCTCCAAAATCAACAGCTTAGTCCTTGATAATTTCCCAAATCATAACAACTTATCTTTGCCTAGCCCATTCCTGTATGCAAAGTTGTCCATTTTATGAGAAATAGGTCATTTTCCATATGCTATTTCTCACAAAAATCCTATAGTATTTTTAGCCCCCCTTAACAGGTGAATAAACTGTGGCTCGGAGAGATTAGTCATGGTTTCCCGGTTGTATAGTGAAAGAGTGGCAGACGAGGACCCTAAACCAAGGCCTGCTGACGCATAGCCCTCTTCTGTTCCCACCACGGCTCACTGCCCCAGATCTGAAATGCTCGTTCCCCTCTAATTTTGCCTCTCATTTGAGTGCAGATCACCTTATGTTGAAATATAGACAATATTGCCTATTCCCTGCTCACTTCCTTCACCTTAGGCTTCCCCCATGCCAAACTCCAGGGAGCTGGGTTGAATGGTTTTAGACAGAATAGCAATGAACTGGCCTCCTGCCTTTAAGTCAAGAGCCCCGGGTGTTCAGCTCTGGCTGGCACCAGTGGCAGTGTGTGACTTTGAGCAGGTCACCTTACTTTTCCAGGGATTGTAATATGAAAGTGATAAATTGGATGATCTTTGAGGCCACTTCTGGCTCTAAAACTATGTGATTCTTTGATTCAAGTCCTGGTTGGACTCCTTCTTGGGGAGAAACAGTTTCCCAAGTCATTGGTGAAATGACCTGGCCTGCTGCCCAGCTAATGCCATGTTGGGCTGGGAGTGGGAACACTTAGCCAGCTGCCCCAAGGATGACTGTACGGCCCTGTCCCCCATCTCCACTCCAACAGGTCCCTTCATTCCTGGTTCCTTTCCAGCCTTCCACAACATGTCATTGTGATCTCTTTCACGGAAGAATATGAGCTCTTCAATATCTCTGTCCTTGAGTCTCAGTGACGGATGATTATTGCCCAACCCCTGGTAACCACACCAGACAGGCTGGCACTTCCCTGATCTCACAGGATGTCTGTGAGCCTGGGTGGAAGGTTACTCCCAATCCTGGGCTCAGGGAGACCTGAGGGCCCTGCAGCTGCTCCCAGCTGTCTGGCTGAACAATGCAGATTCTGTCAGATCTCCGGCTGAGCCTTCTTGTACGGGGTATTGGAGTTGTGGTATTAACTGGAGGAATCTCAGCTGCTTCCTGCTTCTGGGGTCCCAGCAGATTCCTCAGCAAAGATAATCAGTCCAGCTCTGTATCTAACTGCGACCCCCAGAAGTTGGGGGAGCGGTTTCAGTGTCATCTCAAGGCAAGGTATCGAACTTCCTAGGCTAGAAGGGACCCCATGGATCAAGGGTGCCTGGGTTCCTGCTTGCAGGCACAGAGGCAGGAGCATGGCTCGCTTTTCATAAATCTTGGGGGATTTTGTGGCCTCCTAGGTCACCTCTTTCAGTATTTTGTGATTCTAACAGGACCTCCGGACAGCTGTCTCCCTCCTTGCACGAACTACTTGTACCGCTTGCCCTGGTTTGCCCTCTCCACTGCAGCAGGACAGACACTGCAGGCTGCCCCTGCCATTCCCAAGACGGCAGATGCTGTTACCCACCCAGCTTCCAGAGCTATTCCGGTGCTTCTCTGGGTGTCAGATCTCTGCTGCAAGACTTACCTTGTCCCCCAAACTGCTGAGAGACTCCAAGAGACTCTAGCTAGTTTCATTCTGTTTTCTTTCCAACTCCCCAAATGCTAAGTGCTTACTTGGCCATTTTTGCCAGAGTACCTTCCTTTGCAGGTACTTTCTCTCAGTTTTGTTTTCAGACTCATGTCAGTGTCTCTCCTGCTTATCCTATAAACCAGGAGCACCCTTAGGGGACAGACCAGGTCTCCTCCCTCCCTTCTGAACTGGTGTTGGTGCTCACATTTCTGATTATGTACTATCAGGAAGTCCCACCTGAGAGCTATTCCTATGATTATTGTCTGAGCCCATTTCCTGTTTGGTTGGGGCCCGGAAATGTGATAAGGATTTGGCCAGCTGACAATGGACTGGCTGGTCCCCAAGGCCAATTTAGGGAGATGAAGGGGAAAATGACTCTTCATAAAGTGGCTCAGAATGCCACAGACTGGAAACAATGGGCCTGGCAGCACCGGACCCCAACCCTCTTCCTTACACCAAGCTTCCTGGCTTGCCAAGACTGCCGTGTCGGTAAAACATTCTCAAGAGGAACATTATTATTCAAAGGCGACCCAGAGACACGTGGGAGAGACGTGGCTGGGCAGCAGACATGCAGGTGATGAGCATGGGTGAGACATGAGCCAGGTGTCCACCGCCACCCTCTGCTGCCTCTGTGAACGGGCTGGCTTCTTTAAGGCTGTTCTTGAGTCCTAATGAAAACCAAGTTGGAGGCACGGTGGGGTGCAGATGGGGGGTGTTTGCAGAGCAGAGTTTACAGGCACTTGCATTTTCTTAACGGCTCCCTCCTCACACATTCCTCTGAATTTTTCCCTTTTATTAATGTGGCATCTTTCCCAGGCCACTTTATGGGACCTGTATGTTTTTACTTATACCCTGATTGGGTTTGATCATGTCTCCCCCTAAGAAGAACCATCAGATCTTGCTCAAGGCCTCCCTACAACCCCTGCAAGGATGCTGGCATTTCAGGCACTGTGGGACTCCTGGGCTCAAATCCCAACAGAATCCCAAGGGGTGCACTAGGTTTCCACAACTCTAGGCCCTTTTCTTCATTAGGGTCTCACCTCTTTTGGATCCCAAATAATACAACCTAGTTTTCTTAGCCACCAAATCTAGTTTCTGGCTCATGCCCAAAAATCAAATCTGCCCCCAAGGATAAAGAGGAAGATTTGCCACAACTGAAGATTTTCAGAGGAATGTGCTCCAAGGCCTGAAGGCCACTGCCAAAGAGGAGCTCCAAAACTGCTTTGAGCAATAGCAGCTCTGATAGAAGCAGCTCTCCAAGGGGCCTGCTTCCAAAGGCATGGCACGCACTGTGGGACAGTCAAGCTTTGGCGTGTTTATGAAAAAAGAAAGAAAAAAAAACCTCTCGTGTTACTTTCAGGACCTCTGCTCTTAGCCTTTCTTTTTCTCTAGACTATCAGTTCCAAGAGGGCCAAAACTGAGGTTTAGAGTTGACTTTCTTTGAGCTCAATTTAACAGGCCTTCCCCATATTGATCTCCTGGAATCTGGAAGATTGTTTCACTTAGACATTAAGCAGCAGGCATGTGGCAATGCTGTGATCTTGGAAAACCTACTTGCCTTCTTGGAGCTGCAGTTTGTTACCCTGTAAAAATGAGGAATGTATATGTATTCTGCAGGATTGTGAGAATTAAATGCAGTAAATGTCTGTGAGAGGCCTGGCATGTTGGGGGCACTCAGTGAACGGTAGGGATTTTTGTTATGAAAGAGGCAGGGAAATCCTCTTTGAAAATCTGCTTTTGTTCCCTAATCCCTCACCTTGTTCATCCTGGCCCTCTCCCACTGTAACCAGTCCTTCCCGGGATGTCAGTGGACAACATCAAATTCCCTGCTGTGTTCTCAAGGGCAAGAATCTCAGAGTCCTTTGGGAAATGTAGTTCTGGGATCATTTTCCTGCTGTCAGCAGGCTCTGTAAGACGCATTAGCTCCACAAGGCTTGATGTGGGAAGTTTTTACAGGTACAGATCATCTGGCTGGCAGATGTAACTGTTCTGCAAGATACAGTTCTGTCTTCCAGATGGGAGGCTTCCTGGGAGTCCTTAGATGGAGTTGGTTGTGTCTCTGCCCCTAAACCCACATTCTGGCAATCAACTGACCATCTCTACATCATCTCCACCACCCCACCATTCCCCAACACACACACACACACACACACACACACACACACGTGAAGGTATCTCCAGTGTGGAAAATAGTGGATAACAGCAATGGGTACTCTAGATGTTTCTCCACCAGATACAAGCTATGGTTCCTTCCAACAAGGAGGTGAAACAGGACATAGCAGACTTCTCAAGTTAGGGTACCCACAACACATGAGCATTCTCCTTAGTGGAAGATGGAGGGAGGCAGTACAAGCCAATGACTGAGTTCTCCTTCCCAGAAACGTCACACTGGATAGATGTGGTCGCTAACTTTCCAATCCCAAAAGTCCCATCTCTGCCTTGATAGAGAGGGCCTGTTAGCAATTGTTGTCCAAACTTAGTTGACTTGGGCTTGTTTGGGGACTTTTGTGCTAAAATGCTCACTTCTGGGCAAAGTGCTTTTGGTCACAAGGGCAGAAACCCAATCACATATAAAAAGGGGATTTAGGGACAGGTATATAAGGACAACGAGATTTCCAGTAAATAAAGTACCAGACTTGTAGTTCTCCCTCTTCTTGGGCCACAGTGTCTCTTGTCTGCATTTCTCCCTGTGCATAATTTTGGCTTGCTTATGGTTTTATCAGATGGCTCTAACTAAACTCCTTATTGAATGGGAAGGCTTAGGTTAACTCCCTGCAACTAAATGGCTACAGAGTCTGTGTTTTTTTATTTCAAACTCTTACAAGAGAAAAACTGAATGGCTGCATCCAACCAATACATTGGCAGGCCTTGGGCATCTATTTCTGGTTGAATTACCTGTGGCTGAGGAGTGGAACATGTGGTATAAAACACGTTTAAGGTAGCAGAGGCTAAAAGTGGGGAAACATACTCTAAGCAGACATATCTCTCCGGAGGAAGGTCAGACCCCCACTACGTGGTCCTGGAGTTCATCTTGGGGACAGGTAACATTCATCCTCAGTGAATCCGTGCATCTCAGCAGAGGCTGGGGGCAGAGCTCAAAAACTGGTGAGGCAGGAACGCCCCTACAGTGTACCACCTCCATGACGCTCTGCAGACATGGTGAAATTGCTCAGAAGAGTGCCCAGGGAGAGCCTCCTGTGAACACAGCCCTGGACTGGGAGCCTGGAGTCCTGGCTTCTGATTCCAGCTCTGCTGCTGACCCTCAGAACGGCCTCAAAAAATCACTTTCGTGCTCTGGGTCTTAAGAGTCTCTGTAAGTTAAAAAATAAATAAATACTACTACTACTAAAAAAATGGTGTCAAATTAAATAATTTCAACCACAAAGAAATCTCTAAACCTATCTTCTCCTTGCCACCCCCTCCACCCCTCCCCCATTTTCCCGGAAATGCATAGAATGAGCTCTTTGAGCCATAACTTTGGTGGGGTCTCTGGCAGCTGCCTCTCTCCCATGACAAGCCACCCTTCCCTGGTCATGGGTCCCTGCCAGAGACTTGCCAGCCTGGCCCCAAAGCCATCCAAGAAAGTCCAGGCAGGGTCTCCCTAGGGGGTGGCAGTCAGGAATTCTGATGTCACGGAGCAAATTTATTTCAGAGCTTCAGAGAGGCTGAGGACAGGGCCTGGGCTCTGCCTCTCTGGCCACCCGAGAGAGGACAGGCTGGGCGCTGAGGACTCATCCAGCTGGGAGTTTTCCAGCTGGGCCATCAGGGCCTGTGAGGACAGGGAAGCTCTAGGAGAAGGGTCAGTAAAGCCTCAGAAGGGCAACGACAATAAATTGCATGGATTGGAGCGGAAGAATAGAAAATGTGCTCTCCAAGGAGAAAACAGCAGGGGTGGGGGGAGTTGTGTCTTTTGGCAGGAAATGAATAACATTCAGAGAATATGTAAAATGCCATACTAATCAGCACCTGTTCACTTTGGAGCCCTCGGCTTGGACCCACGGCATCTGAGTTTGAGCCTGGCTTTGGATCTCCCCAGGGGAGGAAATGCAGTACATTGAGACCCACTTGAGTGTTGAAACATGCACTGGTCTAAGTGGGGAGGAGAGAAGGAAGGTGCCCTCCACCTCTGTGGCTCCTTCCTGGCCCCAAATGGTCTGTTACACACCCAGGCAGATGGCTACAAATTCTGGAGGGGCCTCTGAGCATTCCGTTGGCTAATGGCCACATTCCAGAGGAGCATATGTTTCATCTCAAGCCCACAAGGTTTGCACTTCCAAGTGGAGCCAAAGAGAAAACCTTGGCTCAGGCTGCAGATTTCTTAGGAGAGGTGGGGGCAGGGGAGGCCAGCAGGGAGTTGAAACTGTCATCTTGAGGAGCATTTGAGTGAATGCAAAGCTAGGTCCAAAATCCGTGACACCCTCATTCCTAACTCAAAATTCCTCAAGACACCTACCCAGGAGACAGGGTGTGCAGAGCTGCCAGCCCTACTCCCCTCCCAATGCCTCTCGTGCTGCCTGCATGTTCCTCCAGCTTCTGATCCACTTCTCACCTTCGTCTGGACTCCTGGTTCCATGGATGGATGGTTCATAACCCCAGGCTGCGCAGCGTGAGGAGGAAAAGAGAAGCTGGTGATGCCTGATAGCTCCCCGTCCCTTAAAGAGTTCCTGAGCCCCATCTCCCTCCCCATCTTCCTGCTCGGGGAGGTGAGCTCCTCTGGCCTTTGGCTGCTGGAAGACACCAAGCCTGGAGGAGGACTTAGGAAGGATCCAGAGCTGGGTCAAAAGAGACGGGGGTGGGGGCGAGGGGTGAGTAGAAATAAACAGCAGCAAGAGGTAGTGAGAGCGTGAGGGTCCAGGCACAGAAAGGGACTACAGGGAGGGTCTAGGGCTGGACGGGGAGAGAGGTGGGGTCCCCTCTAGGGGTGGGAATGAGGAGGAGCAGGGCGGTGGGGGTCCCAGTCCTCTGGGGGTTCTGCTCTGTGGTAAGCTAAGGGATTTCTGACAGCAAAGTAAACTGTGGTGTGCTGAGTTTACCCAGCTCCAATAAGCAGTGTTCGGAGTGTTTAATGTTTCCTTCCCCATGAATTAGTTGACAGGCACTGAACTGCAGCCAGCCCCTTGCTGTCTTTTGGGGAAGTAAGGAGAGAGCTGTCAGCAAAGCCGAGGTCCCTGACTCTAACCCAGGACGTGGAGACTTGTATGGAGCTGGGAAGTCTAGCTAACAGGCCCAAAGTTTCCATCAAGGAGAAAGAACCTGAACTAGAGTTTCCCCCTTCATCCTACCACGTCACCACATCAGTCCCAGGTATCCCTCACAGAGGTTTATTTTCTCACCATTCCCTCTTTATTAAACGCTTGCCTGTGGGGTACAGTCTCAAACAGCCATGCTTCTGCAGATAGACGCAGTGGACACACATCACAAAATAAGTGACCAAGACACCAGAGCTCAGTGCCCAAGGACAAGCTATTCCAGCACCATTATTCCCAGCACAATGTGCTAAGGACGAACAGGTTGAAATATTACAGAAAAATAGATTTACTTCCCTTCATCCAATCCAGGGAGGCTTCCGGGAAGAAACTCACTTCTGAAAGGCTCATAAAATGAAATGGAAGAGAAAAGTTTGGCCAGAGGGCATCTCAAAAAGTGGAATGGACAGAAGCACAGAGCAGGGGTAAAAGAACCAGTCTGGTGGTGCAGCTAGAATGGGTCTCAATTCCTTCACCTCTCAAAAGGTATTGTAAGATATCCCTTAAAGTCCGAGAGGAGGAGTAGATCAGGAGCTTCAGGTGGGCTTCAAGGAGGACAAGGTGCTCCTGGGAGGCCAACAAAGGGCAGGGGGAGACCAAGGGCGTCGGCAGGTTGGAGGAAGGAACCTTAACACAGGTGGAGCCTCTGGTCTCACCCATTTCAACCAGCGTAGCTCAATATTTTCTGCTTGATTTGCTTTTGCTTTTATATAAGATTTCCGGAAAAGAAAGGCTTACCATTGCAAGCCTGTAAAAGGTTAGTTTGAAAACCACTAAGGTATAATTTCTCTTGGGAGTCCCAGCTTTAAGAACCACGGTTTTATGAAGGAACACGCAAGGAACACATGTATCAACTTTGGGCACAGTTCCTAAATTCAAATAGTCTGGCCCATTGTCAGATCATCTGTTCTCATTGTTTTGTTCAGAAAAAATGTGATCAGCATGAGCATTAGGAACGCTTCCCCTCTCCACATTGGGTTCAGGAATGGGAGTAAAGGCACAAAGTCCACCTTTCCTCCACCTTGTGCCCATGGCAGGCATCCCAAATCAATAATAACACTCTCAGAATAGTAATGACCACCACCACCCCAGCAGCACAGTCTTGGGATCTGTCTGAACAGGGCATCCAGGCTACTGCCTCCAAACTGGGAGAGTCGGTACATGAGCCAGAACTCCTCTGCTGGCTCAGATCTGGGGGTTGTCTGACACCAAGAATGCCATGCTAAAGGACCACCACTCCAATGTCCTTCCTGGCCTCATGGGCCTGTGGGACCAAGTGCCATTCAGTATTTCTGCCAGGAGTCTCAGGCTGGCCTTAACTTGGGAGGTAAGCCCTTCAACTTTGCCTGTTACCCGCCTGAGCCCTGGAGAAGGAGGCCAGCAATGTAGTGGAAACATGGCTATTTCTCCCATCTTTGCAATCTGTTCAAGGTTCAGGGACAGCCACCATGTATGACTTTGAACTCTAGCTTTTATATCTTCAGACCGTCCCCATCTGTTCATTGTCTGCAGTTACTGAGAGAAAGACTCTGAGGGTAATCTTTAAAGGACTTTGCACTTATTTAAAGGGAAGTATAGAGAAGGGCAGAGACAGAACTGGGTTCCAAATCCAAAAAGAAAGATCAGTCTCCTATGGGAGGCATCCTGAAAGGGGTATAGGGAGTAAGAAGCAAGCAGCCCTGGAGTGATCTGGGGAGGGGGCACAGTGAATGAAACAAGACAAAAATAAAATAAAACGGAAGGGGGGTTGACTAGATTGATGGTTTTCAACTTCTTAAATAAGCTGAACATTCCTTTCAAAAGAAATTGAACTGAGATCCCAGCATATAAACTAGTAAAAGGGAGCAGCTCCGGCTGAATGTGAACAGGCCTGCCTCGTGGTCCTCCTTCCCTCCCTGGCCTCAGAGAAGTGAGCTTATTGCCTGGGCTCCCCTCTAGTGAGTGGTTCAGCCAGGTTTCCAATTCACATGTGTTGACTGCAGGGCTGAATGTATCCCCGGCCCTCACTAACAATAGGGGGTGCTGCTCTGCTCCCCACTTAAGTCCAGCATCCAGAAGAGTGTCTGGCACATAGAGGGCCCTTGGTAAGTACTTGCGGAGTGAGCCCATCCCTTACACCGACTCAGAGCTTCCCAGTTTACAAAGCACTTGCATGGGAGTGTTCTGTGCCGAATGGCTGCCTTCACCAGCTGCCTTAGTGCGGGTCTCAGCGCAGCCCCGGCCCTCTGGACTTGGCCGTGGGGACCGACTGAGCATCCCCAGGTGTGATCTCCTGCCTTTTTGTCTCGGGGGCTTCCTCTGAGGAGCTTCATTCCTGCCCTTCCTTGGTCAGTGAGCTGTGGTGCAGCCCGAAGACCCCTGAGTCCTTGCCTCCTCCCACTCTCCTCTATGTGTACCTTTAGTGCAAACACTTTGGAGAGGCCATGGAGAGAAGAGTTCCAGCAGGAAGCCAGGCTATCCTGTGGGGCCCAGGGAGAGAAGGCCTGTGTCATCTGTGGGACGAAGGGCCTCCACCAGCCCAGGCCCTCCCTCCCATCTCCCCCATCTTCTGGAAAAGGAGAGAATATTTCAGCTCCTCTGGCACCCTTCTCCCTGGTCGCTCTGCACAGGCCTGCCAAGTTTGGGACCGACCAGGCCAGGTTCCCCACGGGAAGCCCAGGGTGGCATGGCCGGGCCTGGCTGGGGCCTCCAGGTCAGCCTGTGCAGGCCCCAGGGTTTAATAAACTCCAAGAGACATTTTCAAAGGCCACTTGATCTTCCCCATCAGGCAGCCCCTGTCTTCCTTTCAGAGCCGCGGGACTGGAAAGAAAAAACTGCTCAATGAACAAGGGGGCCAGAGAAAGCCGAGCCGCAGGGCACCTTCTATGAATTTCTGATGAGCGCAGGGCGCTGACTCCTGGGCCCCCACCCAGTGCAGTCGGGGATGTTAGTTTAAGTCATTTCGCACGGTTCACTGGCTCTCTGAGAGCGGCTTGTCTCCAGCCTGGCCTTCTCTAACAAGCTCTTTTTACTCGGAGCTCCTCCGAGCAGAGTCCTTAAACAATAGCAGCTTTCAAGGGGCTCAGCCCTGCTCTGTCAGCTTCCCTTTTCCACCCCAGCCCCGCTTTCCATCCTTCTGGCCGGCCTCGCTGCCTGCTCCCCTGAACATGCAAGCCGAGAGCCTGCCTGGCTTGAAGTCGGTATCAGAAAATTTGCCCCTTGGTCCTTTCCTTCTCCACTGTCCTTGCCTTCCACCTGGCGAGCAGGCAGAGAGAGTGAGGCTGCTCTGTAGAGCGGCCACCAGGCCACACGACTCTGGAGCACTTTGTGACGGGTGCCCCCTTGTTAAGAGCATCTTGTCCTGATACTCTAGGCCTGTTATGTTCCTCAGGCCTCTTGAAACTCTGAGCAATTTCCTCCCACCTTTAATCTGAGGAGAGCTGGCTTCCTCCCCACTGGGGGGCTGGAGCCCGCCCCACAGGCCTGGGCCTGGTGGGGTTGATAGAGAAGCCGGAGGAGAGGGAAGCTGAGCGCATGCTCCTCGCGCACAGCAGAGGAGGAACAGTGTCCCTCTGCCTGGGCAGCCCTGCCCAGGTACAGGAGGTGGGCCATGCGCCCCTCGGTCAGCGGTGCTGTTTTCCCCATCCCCACCTCCCTTCATCCAGTGTCCCCCTGTCACTCAGGGCAGAGAGGAGCCCACTTCCCACCTCTCCACGGAGTCTCCTTGTCTTCCGAAGAACCTCCAGCTGAAAGGAGATTCGTTAACCAGCAGGGAAGAGTCATTTACAGGTTCAGACACACCTCTGGCCAAAACAAGCAAAGTTCATATCAACACACATCAGTATTTTGGCTTCATGTTTGGAGCCTTTGATGGTGACCTTTGACCTGGGGATTTCTAGAAAGCTTTGAGCCACCATTCCATTGACATTCCACTCTGGGAGAGGCTCTGCCCTGCTCCTAAAACACCTGCCAGCAATTAAAGGTCCCCTTACCCGTAACCTGGGCACCACCTTTGGGGCCCAGGGCCTCTTGCCTTCAAGCGCCTCAAACAGCCTGACTGTCCGCCCCCCACAAAGCTCTACTCTCCCCTCCCCACCTCTCCCTGCTTCACACCAGGCCTGTGCCTGTCCCCTGTGTTAATGGCCTGGCTCCCTCAGGAAGCGAAGTTGGACCAGAATTAGCATGACAAGCTGGAAGATGGGGAACTGGGAATGCGGGACCCTGAATCCAGCTCTTCCTCCGTCCAGGATTTGCTCTGTGACTGCAGAAAGCACCCCCTCCCCCATTTTCCACCACCACTTCCTCATGGCAGTATTGGACTGGACCAGTGTTTCCTAGTGTCTAATCCCCAGGTGTCTAGGGTCAGAATCTTCCAGAGGACTTGTCAAAAAGGCAAGCTCGAGGTCCTCACCCCAGCTCCACAAAAGCAGAATTTCTGGGGGTATGGCACAGCCTGCATTTTAACATGTGTCCCAGGTGTGTCTGAGCCTGTTATGGGTTGAGAATGCTGTCCTGGTTTATTCCAAACTACAGTTTTCACTCAGAATTCACCTCTGTGCTCAGTTTGAACTTGTTCAAGCTCTGCTTGGGGTGGATTTTCCAAGGCTCCTTGCAAGGCCGTGAAGGAGGAGGCCAGGCAACTTGGTGATCATACGTGTGAATACTTCTACCCAAAGAGACCCAGGACCCCATAAGGTTCAGGCTCAGAAAAACCCAGCCTGGCTCCTGGTTGAACTAGTTGGCTGGTGACTTTTTATAGGGTCTTAAGTCTTTGTCACATGTCCCTCTCTGACATTAGGCCCGTCTCCAGTTTTTCTTGCATTCCCCATCCCAGGGATAGTCAATATTCTTTGCCCAGTGAGAGCTGTAACTTCACCTCTAACAATCACTGTGGCAATCCCAGAGGTCACATTCCAATGCCCTGTTGTGGCCAGAGGTAGAAATGATTCCAGAAACAGGTGTGTCCCAAGCTGGCTGATGTCTCCAAACCCAGACTCCATTTGTTAAACAAGTTTCCTTCCCAGGCGTTGGAACTAGGTCAGATGGGGCCAGGTGGAGAAAGATGGACACAGTTTGTAAGCTAATCAGCCATTCTCCACATCAGAGCAGTGAACATGGGTACAGGTCTTTACTTGACATTTATCCAGCTGAGTAGTGCTGGTGCCTGAGACTCGTCTATCATGAGGAGCTGATACCCTGTAACTCAGGGCTGTGGAGAGGGTACCTGAGAGAGGGAATGTAAAAGCCTTTCATAGCCCTTAAGTACTAACCAGCTGTAAGACATTGCTAATCACGCAAAATTCACGTAGAGGGGCCTTGAAGCAACCCAGGGTCAAAATATCATGGATTATACCCAGATTCTTCCAGTAAAGCTCCACTGCTGTGGGGAACCAAGGCCCCTGCTGGCTAGGCTCCTGGGGAAGAGTCATGCCCAACATCACCCACCACCACTCACTGTTGGCACTGAACAGACGTCCTGTCATGCATGGCTCTCCCGCCCTTCCTTGGCGTGAGCCACAGGGCTGGGCAGGGAAGCAGAGGGGGCGAGCAGGATGTGGGTGGAGGGCCTCTCCTCCGCCTTTGCCCCCTGCAGCCCTGGCAAGTCAGGGAAAGGAGGAGGAAGAGGAGGGGGAGCCACATCTGGTTTGAGTGCAGTTCCCAGCAGGGAGAGCAAGGAGAGCCGGGCCTTGGGATGTGGAGACACGGCTGCTGGAGTTGCAGAGGAAGGGCAGCAGGAAGGGTGAGCAGGGCCCCAGCGATCTGGGAGAAGGGAGGGAAAGTGGCTGGAGCCGAGGGAAGCAAATAGAGTGGTTTAGACAATAACAATAAAGGGAAGAATCAGTAAAGTGAAGAATGGAGATTGTGTCACACCCAAGACAAACAAAACAAACGGCGAGGAGATCCACCATGCAGATGTTCAGCGCTGAGGAACAGAGTAAAGGCGCGCGGAAGATGCTGCAGCAGACGGGCTCCGCCGGCAGCAGCTGGAGAGCAGGTGGACGGGAGCCCCAGCCAGAGGGGCCTCGTGGCTGGAGGGGAGCCAGCCCCAGGGGCCGTTTCCCCTCCACCAGCCTCAGACAAGCCTGCCCCACGCCTGATCCCCGCACGGCACCTGCACTCACAGGGCGGGAGAAGTGGAGGAAGGACACGTGTCCTTCCTTGGGCCAGGATGGGTCCCTTGGCCGGGGCAGTCTCCTTCCTCGCAGCCTCGTCCCCTCCCTGCCAGAGGGGCCTAGCGTCTCCCATATTCAGATGGAGTGAGTGCTTCAAGTGGCCTCAAGAAAATACTGCCTTTTTACTGTGGTCAGCAGCTAGTCCCCATGCTCATTTTAATGGCTCTTCAGGGACTCAAGTCTTTTCCTTCCTGACATGGTGGGCTTCTGAGCTGACTTTTGACCTGTGCTAGTGTCAGGGGTCGGGTGTCCACTCCCTCATCTATACAACAGTCTATTTTGTGAGCCCGGCATGGCATTAGGTACCTCAGGGGCTACAAAGATGAGTAAGACACCGTTCTTCCCCTAAACGTATTTACAATCCAGGGGTGGAGGAATTGAATTATTTTTTGCGTGTCCATTCTGTAATAAGCACCCAGCTAGGCACCTTCAAATGGTCTGCCTGATTTATTCTTCACGGTCACCCTGTTTAGTAGATATTATTCCTTCATTATTACAGAGGAGGAGGCCGAGGGTTGCAGAGATCCGGTGCTTTTTCTATGATCACAAAGGCAGGAAAGGGATCACCTGGTGTTCAGACCCAGGTTCATGTGGTCCCAGAGCCCCGCGCTCTCTCTCCCTGACACCCTAAGCAACCACGAGGTGAAGCAGAATTTGACAACTGCCAAATCAAACCGCCTGCTCTCAAAAGATTTAAGAAGGGGTCTCCTGCCTCCCATCCACCCTTGCTCTCTGCCCCCTTAATTGGAACCAAACGTCATCTTTCTGCGGTTCCGTGCACCAGCAGGGAGGAGCCAGCACATCCCATCCCCAGCCGGGCCAAGTGCCTGCAGGTGTCTGAAGAATGCTAATAGCCGTGAACTGGGGGAGGGTCCACACGAGGCCCTTCTATGGCATTTGCTTCCCATTAAGCTCTCTCCCCCTGCTCTCCACGCCCTCCCTCCCCCTCCAGCAACATGCAGCTTCCAGGAGCCAATTACCATAGCCAGGTTTTCCTCTTCTTCTGAAGCCACGGGCACTGCTAACAAGACACAGATGCTGCAGGGCAAGCCCCTATTGTCCTCTTCAGAGCAGGGGCTTTCTTTGCTCTGAAGGACCCCGAGTAAACAGAAGGAAGGTTGGATAGTCTAATTTCAACTCAGCCCCCAAAGGAGCCGGGAGGCCTCAGGGGTAAACATGGTTATCTGTGATCTCAGGAAGATGGGCAGGGGTCTCCTGCCCCTTCCCAGGGCTGTGGAGTCAGGGTGGACCCGAGAGACCCAGCAGGGCACCCAAACAGGAAGAAGAAAGACTAGATTTGAGTGAAGCATCCCCAAACCTGTAGTTAACAGACAGGTGTCCAGAGTATAAGTAACTTAATTCAAGACAAATTGGGTTAAAACCTCCTCAGAAACTAGGCAGACAAGGCTGGAACTTCATATTTTCCTACTATTTCTTAGATCTCCTTGCCAGTGCACCATATTCTCTGGCTCTTAAAATTCTACTTGGCCTTCAAGCCTCAGTCATCCATGAACTTTCCCAGACATTTCTAGGCCAATTAAGCTCTCCTTTCTTTTTGGTCCTTCAACACACTGGTTTTAAGAGGTTTTTGTTTTTATTAATTTTGAAAAATTGAAGTATAGTTGATATATACCAGTTGTGTTTTTTTTATCCAGTTACACCTTAACATATCTGAGTGCGGAATTTTTTTATGTGCCCTCCTCAGAACTCCCAATATTTATTCAATCCAAGGATGAATATCTTCTATTAATTCTGGAAAATTAAATATTGCCATTCCCCCATTCTCTCTATTCTTCTGCAACTAAAGAGCACTTTAAACCCTCTTGTTCTACCTGCTATGCATCTTGGCCTCTCTTTTATATTTTGTCTCCCCTTATCTTTCTGTGCTGCATTTGGGGTAATTTCCTCAGATCTACCTTTCAGGTCACTAATTCTCTGTTCAGCTTTATCTAATCTGTTTGACACATCCATTGAGCTTTTATTTCAATGACTGTCTTTTTCATTTCTACAAAGTCCTATTTGTTTCTTTTTACAAATTCGCCTGTTGTCTTTCAAAAATATCCTATCCTTTCTTTATGGTCTGTATTTCTTTTTCATCTTTTCGTGCATTTTAAACATAATTATTTTAAAATCTCTTTCAGATTGTGGCATGTTCTTAGAATGCTTAACTAGTTTGATACAAACGCTGACTTTCCCTAATGGCATGTCATTTCCTATGTGGTTTGTAATTTTTTTTTTTATTGTATGTACAACTTCAAAGGGGATTTTGCTGTGAGAATGCTGTTGTTCTGGAGCACATTCCTCCAGAATAGGCTTGTACTTCCTTTTCTTGGTACTTCATGAGTTTCACTGGCCAGAACCTATTTTTACATTAGTTTTCCAGCTTGGCAATTCCAACAGTGGAAATTCAGGCACTATAGTCACATATGGTTTGGGCCCAGAGCCTCTATTTATTACTGAAGCCTTTTTTCTATTCAGATTTATACAGTGCTATTTACTGGCCCTCTTACTAGAGCCCCAGTAAGAAAAAGCTTCTGAGACTGTGAGTGATATTTTTCTAGTCCTGGTTTGTCTGAGGATGTATCCCTCCCAGGGACCCAGCTTTGGCTGATCTCTTGAATTTAGCT